ACATAGAATTTATTAATTATAATATTATATAAATTTAAAAAATAGAGTTTCTATTTCTAATTATTATACTTCGAGGTTATATTTCATAATAAACTAAATTCCTAGGAGTTATTATAGACAATAAATTGTCATGGAAGAAACATATTACTTATATAGCCAGTAAGGTTTCAAGAGGAATAGAAATAGTGACAAAACTCAGATGTTACTTAAATCGACCAACTGTCGTGAATTTAATTTATACTTTTATCTATCCTTATTTCACGTATTGTATTTACATATGGGGAAGTACCTAACGTACCAAACGTCACTAACTAAGCTTGTCATTCTTCAGAAAAAAATTATTAGAGTAATTACATTTTCACCGTATCGTGCTCGTACTGAATCACTTTATAATAGTCGGAGGTATTAAACCTTAAACAAATATATATAATTATGGTGGGCATGTTTATGTACAACTGGAGAATCGAAGAACTTCCTAAAATCTTTAACAATATGTTTCATTTAAATTTTAACATTCATGGCTATTACACCAGACAAAGGGAAAATGTTCACATAAATGTTGTACGCACAAATATCCGCAAAATGTCCATATACTACCGTGGGGGTCTTATTTTGGGGAAAATTCAAGCTAAAATTAACATAAATACTATAAAAAATGTCTTTGCATTTAAGAGATGCTTAAGAAAGCTTATCATGAGTAGTATGATATGTTAGATATCTTCGCATTACCACTTATTGTTGTCTTTCTGTTTCGGTAAATGCACCGAGTATTGTGTTCTTGTTTTTCTTTTGTACGTTTTCTATGATATTTAATTGGTGTGACAGAAACGGGGAACCATAATTCCTGTTTGGATTTCATTCGCCATTTGCTATATATATATATATACATGCGAAAAATAAAAGATTTTACGCTTATGAAAACTACAATCATGTTCATTAAATGAAAGTTTCAAATTGTTACTAGTTCAATGAAAGTGTCAATGACACTGTAGCTCACCACAAAAAAGGACACAAATGAGTGAGTGAGAAGAACCCAGTTTTAATTGAGCAACCATCGACGTACATTATAGAAACGAAGAGTATATAAGGGAGAACTCCCATTATATACTCTTGATAATTATATGTGTAATTTTTTATGTGAAAATAATAAATAATATTAAGTGTATTATATATAAATATATATATACATTGTATAAACGCAAAATGAATCACATTTGGTGACGGTAGATGCGCATACACCCGCCTTGATGTTTCTTAGGCATAAATTGATTATATCATAATAATAATAAATATGAAAGTGGTCAATGACACTCGTAGCTCACCCAAAAAAGGACACAATGAGTGAGTGAAGAAGAAGTCAGTTTTAATTGAGCAACCATTGACGTACATTAAGAATCGAAGAGTATGAATGGAGAACTCTCTATGTATAATATTTCTTATTAGATATATATGTGTAATTTTGTTATGTGAAATAATAAATTAATATCTAGTATATAGAAATTATAATAATATTAATAAACAAAATGAATCACAAATTTGTGAAAGTAAGATGGGCGCCTACACCCGCTTTGATGTTTCTTAAGCATAAACATATATGCATAATAATAATAATATAATAAATAATTAGTATAAATCATAAATATGTTCATAGCAGGCAATTTTGCAGTTAAAGATATTGTCAATGAATCTTGTAAAACGAACCGCAGACGAGTGTGGACACCACAGACTGTTTGTTATCTGGGTGCTAATATATGCTATATTAATTGGCCAACTACTACTAATTTGCAGTAATGTTTTTTTAAATATTCAAAACCCTTAAGCCCTTAGTCATTCAACATACCAAAATAATTAGCAAAATCCCGTTGCAACCTGAACTGACTAAGGCAATTCCCATTTGGCCAAAAATTGCCGTGGCTCGAAAAGGACGTTTCATGGCGGTGCTCGCAAAATAGGAACGTTCAATATGGGAGCATAGCACGACACTATATCCAAATTCAAACATGTGGTCAGACGTTCTGAGCTTTATCGTTGACCGTAGCGAATGTTGGGGGACAGTGCGACGGACGGACGGACGGACGACGACGGACGTACGACAACGCACGATGGCAATAGCTCTAGTTTTTTTCTTGACGATTGTACAAGTGGTGAGCCTAAATAATAGAGTAAAATTTTTCCCAAGGCTAATTGCTCTCATAACCATCTAGGACTATTGTTTCTTCTAATAATCAAATGAGTGGAACGGTCACAGCGGATGGCTGGTAAAAGCGTATCCGCTATCACATCAATAAACGGCACAAGAGCATTGATAGTTTAACTAGAGCAGCTCGGTAGACGCCACAGACCTCCCCCAAGGCAGCTCAATTCTGTGCACTGTGAAAAAATGTTTATAATTACATTAATTGATTAAATAATTACATTGGCATCCGGCAGTCACCACCAAAACTGCTAATAAATCTAAGTTACCCATTTGCTGACCTATCCTGGAAAATTTTAGAAATTAATTAATTAATTATATTTGGATTCCGGGATCACCACCAAAATGCTAATTCAAGTTCTAAGTTTACCCCATTTCTGACCTATCCTGAAAATTTGTTATCGACAATCCGTCATAACTTTCAGTTAGAGCTGTACACAAAGCAGTAACCCACAAACCAACAAGACCAACAGAACAACTCAAACACACGCCGGTGAAAACATAATCCTGCCAACCCCGGGCGGGAGGTAAATATAAAGGTACCGCGGAATAAGATTGACGCTGGATGTATTTTACAGCATTCAAACTACATCAAAGTGAACAACAACACAAACAAAATATGGATTGTAACATACACTCTTGTAGCGTTCCGCTACACCCTTCTGCTCTTCTCCCCCCCCGCCGCCCCATATTCTCTCTCCTCTGTGCTCCCCCCCTTCTCTCCTCTCTCTCTCGTTTCTCTCTCCCTCTCTCTCTCTCTCTCTTCCTCTTATCTCTCTCTCTCTCTCTTGCGTCGGACCTCTACTCGTGTCTGCGTTCAGATCCAAGACCGAGGTTCTCTGTCATTTAAACGCCTGACTTCTCTCTCTTCTCTCCTTCTCTC